GAGAGAGAGAGAGAGAGAGAGAGAGAGAGAGAGAACACAAGAGCTAGGCATGCAGAAAAGTGACTGAAAAATCCTTTACCTGGTATAGGAACATATCCGGTTAAACATTGCCCCAGATAATTGCAGTCTAAGAAAGAAAATGTACTTGCCCTTTATCACAGGGTCACCTTGCAATCTTCTTTTAAATTTTTTTTTAACTCACCAGGAGTAGATATGTGTGACTTTTCCTCCCAGTAGTACCCAGTAATGTGCATTGTAGATCTCTGTGAGTATGCCCCATCTTCCCACAATACTTTCCAGCCAGCTACCACTATCATTAAATTTTCCTGGTTTTCAAGAAAGATCTTTTTTGTTGTTGTTTTTATGGGTCCACTTTTTTTTTTTTTTTTAAACACAGGTTAACAAACTTGGATTTGCTTATCAAAGAGAACACTAAAGTGCTTCTTACTGAAACCCTGTAAATGTTTTAGGTTGGCTTTTCTGGAGACTTTTGGTGAAAACAATAGAAATGTACTTTGAGGAAGACAAGGGTAGCCTGGGAGGACACTGCAGCATTTTCCTCAAGCTGCTGCTGCTGCTTTCACAATCCCTGTGTCTTCATCTAAACATGTTTCGGTGTGTGTACAAAATACATGCCAGTCCGCCTCTGTACTCTGTGTGGGAAGGAAGGACCTGGGAGGATTGTGCTGCTGGTTTCAGCACAGAGGCATGACTTAGCAGAGAACCACAACTAGGAAAATCAGTCCTTTTCAGCACCCAGATTTCCCCCTCTTCATTCCCTACCCCCTCCTCCTTTTTCTAACCAAAAAGTTCTGCTTATTACCTGAGATGCAGGATCAAAGGGCGATGGAAAAGACCACTGGTGAAAAGGAGGAGCCCAGTTATCCTCCTGGCAGCCAGGGCTGTACTGAGAACAGGCAGACTGTTTTTATTCTAATTCTCTTTCTTGTAATCTAAGAAACCTGTTCTAGTTCTTGCCATATAATTAGGTAGTCAATCTGAGATTTCTACACTCTTTCCAACTCACAGTACACTCACTAAGGGGGAAAAGAAATGCATGGTTGTTTTAAGTGATATATTTCTGGGTACTGGTTTTGTTTCATTTTCCTGTACTTTGAAATAATCACGTTTTTAATTCATGCATTGAAAACAACCTGCTCTTCCCCACCCCCAAGAGTCTCATAGTACACTGTTGCCCAAATGAAAGAAAAAAGCAATAATAAAAATCAAGGCTGTTTGGGTTTTAGGGATATGGTCTGACATAAAGCTCTAGATAAAAACTAGGATTTGAAGTCAGAAATCAAATTAGTTACCTTTCCCCCTACTCCTCCTCCTGAAATGGACTCAGTTTGATTATTGTTGTCTTGAGAGATTATAAATCTCTGGCACACTTGAAGGGGCTAAAGTAAAGCTAAAAATTCTCTCAAAGAGTGGTTGAAAGCCATTTATAGTTTTCTTAAAACTTTTCATAATGTAAAGAAATTTTCTGCTGGTAAATAATAATGTGAAGAAACCAACACTTTATTTTGGAACTTTTAGATAGAATTTTTTGAAAGCCATTGGAAAAAATACATTCTATTCCAAATGGGCTTAGGAAAATGAATTGTGTTATCCATGTAATTTGTGAAATAGCTTTCTATGACTTTTTCTTTCTTTTTTTTCTTTCTTTCTTTCTTTTTTTTTTCTGCCAGTCACTGCATTTATTGTTGAACTTGTATATCTTAAAAAATCCACATGGAGGGCTGGGGATGTGGCTCAAGTGGTAGCGTGCTCTCCTGGCATGCGTGCAGCCTGGTTGGATCCTCAGCACCACATACAAAGATGTTGTGTCCGCCAAAAACTAAAAAGTAAATATTTTAAAAATTCCGTCTCTCTTTCTCTCTCTCTCTCTCTCAAAAAAAAAAAATCCACATGGATTTATTTCAAGGCCATTTTTTTTAGTTGTAAGTGGACACACATATCTTTATTTTATTTTTATGTGGTGCTGAGGATCGAACCCAGTGCTCACACATGCTAGGCAAGCACTCTACCACTGAGCCACAAGGCCATTTTGATCATTTGGTTTCTACCCTCAATGAACTTTTAAAAATTGTATATTTATTCCAACTTTCCAAGTTGCATTATGATGGGGACATAACCATAAGTATAGTTAAAATATTGGAATTTCTGCATAAAGGTAGATAAAATGAGAATAACAGATTTCATTGTTGAAATATCACCTTTGTTATAGCTTCAATAAGAAACAAATGGTGGCTTTCCAGTAAGGATGGAATTTGGCATCAATTTAAGCTGTGCAAGAAAGTCTATCGGCGAAAGTAATGATTACCCAAAACATTTGAATCACTATCCATCTGTAAACCTCCATCCATGGCCTTCCTAAAGCCACCGTGTGGAGTAACCTCTCCTTTGGGTTTGCTTGCTTGTCCCCTATCCCCATGCCATAGTTGATACTCTGACTAGTGTGGAAATGGGGACTCTCTGAGAGGCAGTACTGAGTGAGCAGCCTGCTGGGGTGAGCCCTGTGTTATGTGCTCCCAAGTGGAAATGATGCTCTCTGGTTTCTGAGGCTTAGTATCGTGGAAACGAAAAGAGGAATGAATCCCATAGGAAATGGAGAGTGCAACCCTTAAAAAGTGAACGTAGGATGGGTCTAATCCCATGATTATGGCAGATAACCAAGCTTTTTATTTTTTCACTGTATGTAACTAGGTTTTGGGGCACATTATTTGATCTCTGACCACATTATTATTATTAGGGCTTCTACAAAGTTAAATAAATATATAAATCAAATGTACTATTCTGTATTTTTGAAAGTCCTCAGAATTGCTTAATTAGAATGTCCTCTGGCAGCAATTCTTGGGGCTGTTGATTTGGGGTACCATTTGTTAAAGTACTGAGGTGAACTCAGCTATTTTATTGAATTTGTCCTGGCAAAATTAAGTTTATAAGGGTAATTTTTAAAGAACATAAAATACTTCATATATCTTACTAGTAATTTACTGCTTGGAGGTAATAACTTTGGAAAAGGAAATTCTCTTTAAAAATCATGGAGAAACAAAGTATTTTAAAAGATTTCTCAAGGGTATGGGGTTAGAAATGATGGTGGAATGTGGTGGACATTACTATCCAAAGTTCATGAATAAAGACACGAATTGGTGTGAATATACTTTGTATCAACCAGAGATATGGAAAATTGTGCTCTCTGTGTGTGATAAGAATTGTAATGCATTCTGCTGTCATGTATAAATTAAAAAAAATATATATTTCCCAAGTGAACCCTCCCATCACACAGATAAGAAAACTGACACCAAACAAAGTGAGGATTCAAAGTGATACAGTCTCCTGATGCCTCTTTCTAAGCATGCTAGTCAAGTGTCATGACGGGCAGAAAATCAGGTGGTGACAAGCCAGACTCCTGGGTTTAAATCTGGATTCTGCCATTTAACCAACTCTGTGGGCAAGTTAACAAACCTATCTTCACTTTGCCTTAATTTCTAATTTTTAAATAGGTAACAACAGCAGACACTGATGAATAATAGATACAGTGACATCTAATTAGTAAATTTGTCACAAGGATTATATGAGCTAAATATGCAAAGTGCTCAGCATGGTGTGGGTGCTATGTGAATGTTAATTGTTACTATCTTCCATAAATATCATTAAGGATATTTTGAGGGGAAAAAAAATTAGCCTAAGTTTGCTTTCTTTGAAAAAAAAGAGCCCAGTTCCACCCAATGACCATGGATGGCCCTGACCATAGAGTGATCTAGTAAGTATGAGACCCTCCATGGATTTGCTAAGGACTAACAATATCACTCCAATCTACTGGAGTCTGGACTGGGAAATGCTGGATTTCTCCAGCTGGGCCTCTGACAGGGCCTTGGCCATAGCTTTGTTAAAGATGTGCAGGGAATAAAGACAGGTGGGGTAGTGAATTAGTAACTGATTAAGCAACTGAATGTAATGTGCAGACACATGGATCAAAGTCAACTCCAATGGGTATATTCTCATTAGGTTAAGTCTTCAGCCCTCTCCTATTCCAGGCATTCAGTAATGATTTACTATTTTTACAGTGAGGCAAAGCAAATACATGAAATTTAAGGATTCAATATGTGATTGATAAAACCAGCTGCTTACGTTTCATCCTAAATCTTGTAATTTGCCGGATTATTTGAATAATTTAACAGGACGACCATTATTCTAAAATTGCATTTTGAAATCACCAAGGAAAATTGTATAAAATTCTTCCCTCAGTAAAGAGCTTCCCCAGTAGGGCCTACATCTCTCTGGGTGGAATATGCAGGTTCCTTCTAACACAACTGAGAAAAAAAGACATCATGCCAAGCAAAGTTATGGCTCTAAATGACACAGTTGGAAATGAAATGTGGAAAACACTGGCTTCCCTAATTCTGTGCAGATTTCTTAGAAATAAATCATCTCAGTAGCCTGTTTCTCTTGTATAGTAAATGGACTCATCCAGCTAAGCAGAGTGAACACATGAGCATCACACAGGGTGTCCATTCCCTCTGCCATGAATTTCCTTCATTTCCATGTGTGCTATATATATCCATATTAGAACTCCCCAGGATATATTCCTTATTACTTATATAGCAGGAATACAACTTTTGTCTCCATTATTGCTGACCAGCGTGCTTATCATGTCAGCTGACCTGGGTAGATTAATTTTTAATAGAGAAACATGTCATATTGTGAGTCCAGAGTTCATTGTGACAAAACACATGACTAAAAGCAAAATCACTATATCCAAGGAATTCTGGTCTTGATATGAAAATGCTCTTATTTTAAGTAGTGCCTTGGGATGAAAATCCAATTAGAAGCCTCAAATCTTTTCTGGTTTTCCTTTGAATAATTCCCTTGCAATATCCTTGCTGTTTCATTGCTCTAGAGTTACTGGTTAAAAATAGAAAATATTTCTCAAAATAGCCATTGGGAATGAGCATTGGGAATGGTTTTCCAAACAGGTAATGCAATTGGACATTTTATGTACCCACTTTTCTTATTTATATCTTGCTTGTTTTTCCAATTAGTACCAGTTATCAAAACATGAAATACCTTTGTTCTTATATCATCTTAAACTAAACTATAGAAATAGTTGGTTGTATAGTGAACTGTGTATTGTCATTTCACAATTTTCTTAAATAGGATCCTTAAATTATAATACTGTATGGGATAACCGAAAAGGGAGAAAAAAAAACCACAGAAAACATAAAAGAATTTCATGTTGTATAGGTGGGATTTTCACTTCTCTATATGCAGACTAATGAAAATATTTCTATTTTTTTTAAGTCAAAATTCACAATGCTTAGTGAATTCATTTGTCCCGATGTGCTTTAAACATAGTGAGCTGGAATTTCTCAACTGTGTATTTCCTATATACCAGTGGTGACAATAGGAAAAGGACACATTTGTTCTTTCTGTCACTGAAGTGATTGGTTGAGAATAGAGTGACAAAATAAAGCTGTGTTGACAAGAAGGGGTAGATGGCCCTGTGTTAGCCACCAAGCATCAATCATGATTTGATTCTGAGTTCTACTTCATAGTGAATTTAAGATCACAATTTATATTTTATTAGAGACAGGTTTGATTAATGGGCACACTTTTTGCAAAATGATTTGTAGCCAGGGACCACATTGTTAAAAGCTTAAAAATTGGTGGTAATATTTTAAAAGAGAAATGCTGCTAGATTCAAAGAAATTGGAGGGCTTTAGGATCTAAGTAATGCCTTTCAAACTGATCTTTTTGTTTTGTTTTGTTTTTTTGTTTTTGGATGAGCAGAAATAAACTAATAGCATAGCCATATGCCAATATCAACATTAGACTGTTTTGCCAAAGCCAAAGGGCTTCTTGCCCTTCCCCCAGTTGTTTTGCTCCCTTGCCACTCTGTGGTGAGGTTAGGTTATTGCTGGCTTCACTGCTATTAAAGCCATCTTAACCCTTTCTCCTCCTGGCTCTGTTCATTTTAGAACTTAAAATTGCTGCTATCTTATTTAATAGAAGATGTAATCTGGTCAGTTTAACAGCTTAATTTTCTGCAACTTCACATGAAATTTTTATTTTCCTACGGATTATTTTCCAATACTACACCTCCAGACGGTTTGGTGTTTTTTTTTTTTTTCCCATCCCTTTATGATGGCAGATCTAAGCGAGCTGCTCATATCTGAGCCCTGCTACTCAGCAGGAGCAGCCTGACAGAGTTTCGTACAAATGATAGCCTCCTCCCATTGTCTCAGCCTCAGCCAAATGCATCCACAAACATTGTTCATTTTTTAAGTCTCAGTGGGTAAGAATCATTGTCTTCAACGCTGTTTTCATCTTTTGAAATACTTATGTTTGCAGATAACTTGGGTCCCTTTAAATTTGGAGAATCTGTAGCCCTCATTTCATATGAGGTTTGCTTTTTGTTTTTAACTTGTGCTTTTTTTTTTTTTTTTTCTTATTACATTGTCAACTCATCAAACATTTCAGGCAGTCAGCTCTGTAACTAAGGCACTAGAGCATTCAAAATGAAGACACTGATCTGGAAGTCAGGAGACTTAGTTTCTGGGCCTAACTCTTGTTGTTGATTAGGTATTTGCTCTAAATTCTTTTGGTTTTGGGATTCTGTATCTGTAATCTGCGTTGGATCAGGGGTTCTCAACTCTGGCCCACATTAACATCGCTCAGACAGCTTTTACATGTGTATAAGGCTGTCTGTCAGTCATTCAGTCGTATTTGGTTGGGCATTGTGTCCATCCGTCTATTATATGGGTTGGGTGGTATGAGGACTCACGTGTGTGTGGTTACTTAAGTTTTGCCATGTGACTCTAATGTGCAGCAGGAATGAGAAGATCACAAGATTGGATTATGAATGAAGTTACACCAGCTCTAATGTTCTAGATAAAAAGCTGAATATGCACTCCAGACCATTTTATATATGTACAGTTTCATGGCTGGAGGAGCTACTAACTGTTCATGACTCAAACTCTAGGTATCCTGATTTTTAAGATCCTGGGCAAATTCCAGCTTTAGGTGTATCACTAATCCACAAGTGAATTTAAGCCATAACTGTTTTTTTTTAATTACAAATGAAATACTCCATATCACCTAAACCTATTTTAAATTATTTTAGATATGATTTTTTAATAAAAGAATATATTGAGATGGGTCTTACATTAAATGAAACTAAGTAACCTCCCTCACCTCCTCCAAACTCGATTTTGTGCTGAGTATGTGTTTTTTTTTTCCCTTACAGATTGTCTAAAAATAACTTGTTCTCTATGAGGCATTCTTTTTTCTTCTTTTGACTAATTTACCTGTGCTTCTCCCTCTCCCTAGTCTTGAGCAGCTCCTAGGTTCCGACTGCAAAGCACACAGCACAAACATGCTAATCCCACACACTAAGCAGAAGCACACAAGACAGTTTGCCAAATGACCTAAATGGAAGCTGTCAACCCCTCCATAAGTAGGCTCCTACAGACTCATGAAGGACGGAACCCGTGGTGCCAGATGCCTCGCTTCCTGACACACTTGCTTGTTTTCAGTAATGCTCTCCCACGGAAAAGTGGTCATGGCTGCCCTGCTAGTGAAGCTGGGGACCACCCATCGGCTCTGCTCCTTCAAAGCTATTCCTCAGGGTTGCCCTAGCAAACTCTTTTTATGAAGGCAAGTGAGAGTGGAGATAAAATGCAGATGATGGCTGTCAAATACAGTAGTGATTTGGGTTGGACATAGTGTCCTACTCTGGACCTTGGATCTAAAATGAGAACCCCTTCAGTGGTCAGCTTCCTACAACTTTCAGGAAACTTGGGAAATAACCATGCTTTTAAGAAAGCTGTTAACCTCTCACCATTTTTTTTTTTTCAGAACCCATCCCTACTTTCTCATCCTGGCAGCGAGAGAACGTGGACTCTGATGAAGCTCGCCTCTCCCCGCAGGCGGGGCGCCTGATTCGCCAGCTTCTGGATGAGGACAGTGACCCCATGCTCTCTCCTCGGTTCTATGCTTATGGGCAGAGTCGCCAATACCTAGATGACACAGAAGTGCCTCCTTCTCCCCCGAATTCCCATTCTTTCATGAGGTAGGTGATTCTCTATTGCTGATGAGCGGATGTATCATCCCCACAATATTAAAAAAGATAAGCATGGTGCTGATGGCTGACAAGTTTTTTTTTTTTTAAATTAAGCAGTGAGCCAGGCATGGTGGTATGCACCAAATTTGGGGCCAGCCTCAGCAACTTAGCGAGACCCTTAGCAACTTAGTGAGACCCTTCTCAAAAGCAAAAATTTAAAAATGGCTGCGGGGGTGGCTCAGTAGATAAGCATCCCTGGGTTCAACATCCTGTACCAAAAAAAAAAAAAATTAACATGTAAGTCTATGAAAGAGCAAATCTGAAGTTCTCCACCCTAGTCCGCAAGCTTATCTAGTAGTTTCCCAGTTGAACTGTAACCCAACTGTAGCATCACACATTGAATTTCCATTAGCACTTCATTTTCAAAGCACTCTCAAATTTAACTTTCAGGCCTGCAGAAAACATTTCATTCTAACTTTTCTAATCATAAATGTAAGAGAAAGACCCCCATGATAAGTGAGACATGCAGAGCTTAGCCACAAAATGAATCGGTTAATTTCCTTTCAGTCAAGAGCATGGGGGTTGTTTTGGTTCTTCTCCTCTGTGCCACACGGCACCCCACATTCAAGGCCCCTCCCAGCAGTCGGTGACTGCTCAGGGAGTTGATCCAAGTCTTTCCTCTCTGGGTAGGCGGCGAAGCTCTTCTCTGGGTTCCTATGATGATGAGCAAGAGGACCTGACACCCGCCCAGCTCACACGAAGGATTCAGAGCCTGAAAAAGAAGATCCGAAAGTTTGAGGACAGATTTGAAGAAGAGAGGAAGTACAGAGTGAGTGCCCCACAGGCTCCTCTGCCCCTGCTTCTCCCCAGGAAGTGAGAGTTAATTCCTAGGGAATCTCAAAAGGACAAAAAACATTGAGTAGTGAATCCTGTTAAGCTCTGGTCACCAGGTGTCACCATTTTTATTGCACAAGCATAAGTCTACTTGTAAATTTGTCAGTGAGCTAGAATGGGGGAAAGTATTGAATGAAATCTTCTGTTTGGCTAAAATTGAATTCAAGATTATTTTCCGAAATTTCATTAGTACTGAGCTCATTGTTCTCCGCACTATCCTTAGCGCTTCCTATGAGCGTGGAACAAATGGTGTGACCATCAGACTCCTGTGTTTTCTGCTCCTTACACGTTGAGCCCTACAAATGACAGAAAAGGGGTCAAACACCATATGAGTGCCTGATTATAATGATCCAGGTTTTTAACCCCTGGGGAATTGAAAGCATCAAAATTAGCCAGCTAGGTGGAGGATGGAATTACATTTGTGAATTTGCTCTGATGAATTGTGGTTGATTTCTTATTCTATGACACTCAACTTTGCCTTCCTAGTTAGTAAGAAAGATTATCAAATTTGACAGCTTTTCCCTGCCTTAGTTCTGAATCATTGACTCTACACTTCCTTTTTTTTCAGCCTTCCCACAGTGATAAAGCAGCCAATCCAGAGGTTCTGAAGTGGACAAATGACCTTGCCAAATTCCGGAAGCAACTTAAGGGTAGGTGAAGTCCTGGACCTGTAGTATAGCTTCCATACAAGAAGCCGGGACCAAATCTATCATCAGCTCAGCTCCTATGAGTGCCACTGCCAAGGTATTCCCAGGTCCCGAAGACACTCTCCGGTGCTCCCAGTTCTTCGGGGTCATTTCCATGTCCTCCCATGACTTCAATCACAGGGCAACAGACCAGCTAAGACATAAATTCTGTAGCATTTCTGCATTTCCCCAAATCACTAGTAGAAAGACGATGGTTTCAAGTCAATACTTCTTAAACACCTGTTTAATATGAAACTTCATCTGCTGTGGTGTTGGGAGAAGTAGACACAGAGATGAATCTAAAAAAGGGTTTGGCCCCTTTCCCTCCAAAAGCTTGCAGTCATTTAGGAGACAGTCATATAAACAACTACAGTGCAAAGTGAAATGATTTCAAAATGAGGTGTCCAAGTCAAGTGGCCAGCTAGTGGGTGTTAGAGCCCTTCGACTCTTTAGGTGCTCAGGGAACAGGTCTGGGAAAACATCTGGCCCAGTCTGAGAACAGCTAATAGGCTGGTGTAGCTAAAGCTTGGGTGTTACAGAGCTAAAGCTTTCTCAGGAATTAGGGTTTGGGAAATATTCCAGATAATCCAGGAAGACATTATCATTATTTTGGGTTTTACATAATGACTCAGGGATTTTCAGTGATATTATAATTAGATACTCCCTGAAGGGAAAAAAAAAAAAAAAGCCATGGCTAAGCAGTTAGTGACATCACAGAAAAACAATTTGGATTCAGCAGGGCTCAGTTCTCATCTCTGTCTCTTCCAACAAATCTTCTCACTCAGAATCAAAACTAAAGATATCTGAAGAGGACCTGACGCCCAGGGTGAGGCAGCGAAGCAACACACTTCCCAAGAGTTTTGGTTCCCAGCTTGAAAAAGATGACGAGAAGAAGCAGGAGCTGGTAGATAAAGCTATCAAGCCCAGCGTTGAAGCCACCCTGGAGTCCATCCAGAGGAAGCTCCAGGAGAAGAGGGCAGAGACCAGTCGTCCTGAGGACATTAAGGTGTGGAGGTCCCCAGCCAATCGCTGATGCCATTGTCACCAGCTGGGTAGAGACGCAGGGTGTCACATGAATCCCTGTGGAAGGTGATGGTCTGTAAACCGACCATGTATCTAGAAAGCAGATGACACAACTGCGTGTTTCACCCGTGGGCACTTTGGTTTTTGACCACAGGTTGCAAGCAGACAGCTCTGTTACATGTATTGCAGAATGACCCTGCTGAAGTTAATAGTTTATGATTATCTGAGGTGGAAAGATTTCAGACTCAACCTTCAGGACTAGGTAACCTGCTGTGGTCATTGCAGGGGCCATTCAGCTAGGCCTCATGTGCCTCACATTCCTGCTCTCCTCAGTGCTCCACCTGCCTTTGCTGCCACATGGGAGCCCCAGGTAGTTAATGATGGTTCTGTTGTGTTGTCTGTGTTGCTGGCTAGTGGTCAGGATTAGATCATTCCTAAGTGAGCTTTGGACAGAGCCAGGGAGAACTGTTGGACGAGGATTATTTTTAACCCTCCTTTAGGAGGTTTGTTTAAATAAAGAAGTTGGAATGTTCACAGGTGTTTTCCCCTTTTCATTTCTTATCCCTGTGTTTATTCAGGATATGACCAAAGACCAGATTGCTAATGAGAAAGTGGCTCTGCAGAAGGCGCTCCTCTATTATGAAAGCATTCACGGAAGGCCGGTATGTGAGACACTGCATTTTCTGATGGGGGTCAATGGTCTGACTTTGGGACCAGATTTTCTGTGTTCAGTATCTTGTAAATGGAGTTCCCTATGGTTTGCTCTCTTCACTTGTAAAGGAGGTTTACTACATACTTACACCATATCACAACTTTTTGAAGACTCAGTCAGTTAAGAGAACTCTGTTAATCTAGTCGATGCTGAACTTAAATTCCAAGGAAAGTTAGCAAGTAGCAAAAATGAAGTCACTGGTGTCCCTATTTGAGGAGTGAAAAGATGGAGCAGAGGGATGCAGGGGCAGAGGTAGTATAGAGGAGGCATATAGCCCAGGTGGAAGGAGACGTCCCTGTCCCAGGTCTGTCCCCATAAATGACCATTTTCTCTAAGCTTACTCATCCAGCTGCAGTGCAGGTGCAACCAGTGCTTGTTTTTGAGGACTTTCCGCTGTGTTCACAACCAAAATGTGAGGCATCCAAAATATGGCTTTGTGTTTTCGTAACAACAGGAAGCATTTGAGGTGGTTTTGTTTATCAGCAAGTGTTTGCTGAATGTTAGTTGCTAGCTGTGGGGGGACAGCAGCATGATAGGCTTCTGCCGTCTTCCTTGCGGAACATATAATCAGACATTGTTTTTTGTCGGTTACTCTTAGCAACATTCTTTCTGTTTTCAGTGTTATTTAAAATTCGACAAAACAAATTCTTAAAAGCAGGTATAAGGAATTATGAAACTTAGGTTCAAAGATGGATTTTTATATAACCAAAAAGCCTAGTTTCAGTCACGACTAGATAATGGATAGAGTTGTTTCATCTAAAATATATTCTTAGGTCTTTTAAATAAAGAAGCTTCCAGGGCTGGGGATGTAGCTCAGTGGTAGAGTATTTGCCTCACATGCCCATGGCCCTGGGTTTAATCCCCAGCACTGCCAAATAAAAAATAAAAGTGCTTCCAGAATGATTTCCTAAACTCCCCCCCCCAACCCCAATTCTTGGAATTGAACCCAGGCTTTTGCACAAGCTAAACAAATGCTCTACCACTGAGCTACACTCCTAGCTACGAGTCTTCACACAGATGAGGGCAGGGATTCTAGGCCTTGTTCACCTAGTGATGAACCTAATCTTCAGCAGCTAACGTGAGACCTGAAACACAGCATGAGCCCAGTGACTAGCTGCAGAATACATTTTCCACTGCATTTTGGTTTTGAATATATCAGGTTTAAATTAAAAAAAAAAAAATTGCTGGCGCTGATGATGATTGATTTTGCTGGCCTGTCCCTGCAGTGGAAAAATACCAGTACCCTGGGATAACGTTCGTGCTTCAGCCAAGTTTTTTTTTTCCCCCAAGTTTTGTAAAGGCATTGAACCAAACAGTAAGTGCTCTGGAGCTCAAATAGATTGTGCAACTTTCTTCTTTTCAAGTGGAGTATTCAGAATTTGTATAGGTAGACAGAGAAGGACCCCTTTTCCACCATGACCTTAGATAGTAAGTGTAGATGATCTCCTTGTGGCCAACAGGCAGGCTTTGGTGATACCGTGTGTTTTCTTCCTTTAATGTTTTTTCTTTTCCTTGTGTGGATCCCGGTTATGACCTTGCTAGGCTTCTTCAAGGGCTTCCTTGCCTGAGGCTCCCAAGAGCTCACAGCTGCCTTCTGGACTGTCTTAACTTTGCTGCCAGTTCACTGGTCTGTGTGCTGCTGTATTTGTTGCTCAGAGCTGGGCAGATTCATTCCACCTGGATGAAGGCCTCACCCAGCCACTGTGAATCTTAAGAGTCACAGATCTGGATTCAGAACCTTCAGAACCGCCCCAACTGAGACTAACTCTGTGACATTAGGCGACTTGGGTAACCTCTTTGGCCCGCAGTGCTGTGTTTATAGAGTAGATGTCTGTTATGGGTTGTCATGGAAATTAAATGAATTACAGAGAGACACACAGACAGACATGTATACATATATTTATGGGTAAGATGTTTGGCACTGAGGAAGTGGGACAGGGTGACTTTGGGGGTTGCAGAGTAAATGATAGTTTTTACTTCTGTCACAATTATATGTTCTACTCTCTGTGGCCAACTTCTGATTAAATGATTAAATCAGGAAAAAAGAATGCACCTTTTTTACTCTCTTATCAGTTCTTGGTCTTCCTTATTCATTTCTCTTTCATCATTCTTTCTGATGGGTCCTCGCATCTCATAGGACGGGGAACGAATGCTCTAGGAAACTTGAGTGTTGGTTTTTTTTTTTGTTTTCTGGTCCCAGGCCAGACTCCGCCTCTCTCTGGAACGCGATACACCAACCTTCTCAGGAAAAGCAGAGTTCATTTGATATCTGGCCAGTCTGAAAATCAAATACTGAACTTTTCTTAGATCCATGGTGTTGCCATGAACCCTGATCTGTAAATATCATTTGGACAGGATACTTAGACAAAAAAATAAAGATACTTCCAGAACTGAACTTTCATTCCAAGTCCCAGTTTTTGAGAAGCCAGGTGCTCAGAACTCCCAGGTTTTTGCTGAGTCCACAGATTCTGGTTTTAAAAGACTCTATCAGAATCACAGGTCAAACAGCTGCTGTTTCTATGCATTTACAATTTACCGTTCACCTTTATGGTTCTGTCCATATGGTTCTTTGCAACCAAAGTGATGTAGGGCAGTTTTGTTTGCTTTAACAGAGCATGCTGTAGATGGAAAACAAGAATTCACACATGGGCACGTCAGAAGTGTGTCCTTTTCAGCATTTAAGGATCTCATCAAAAGACCACAGCACAGAAAAGTTGAGCAAATAACTGCAGCTCATTGTGGTGCCTTTAGTGTACAACAGGCTTTGGTCATAAAAGTTTGAGGGAGAGAACAAGTTGTTTGATCAGAGCTCATGGGTTCTTCTTGAATCTTTTGCTCACTGGCATCTTTTAACCCTGTGTTTCAAAACTGCGGGGCCTAGGACAGCAGAAACATAGCCAGGTACACATTTATGCCAATCATAGAGTCATATATAAATGCCACCCTTTGGTTAGCTGCTGTTTAGGATTTTCTGAATCTTTGCATAGCCAGCCTACTATTATTACCTTAAAATGAAGAAATGAAAGTTGGCATTTTCCAAATTAGTAATTCAAGAAGGCAACAGTTGTAAGAGTCTATCTCATTTTGTCTTCCAGCAGTTTTGTGATGCACAGGTACACCCCCCAACACACACACACAGACACATACACACACACACACACTCTCAGACTACTTTGTTTTATTGAGATTTTGAAGCAGTGTAATTTTTGTATATCTATAGTATATTTTCTCACAAATTGTGTTTTTATGCTACTGTTCAGAGATCTTTGTTAACTCAACATAGGCGGAGCTCTCAGCTTAGAAGGCAGACTTGATTCAAGGACAGCCAAGTCAAATCCTGTCAAGTCAGATGCCTTAAAATGAAGAAATGAACATCAACACATTGTGTCAAGGTCCTGCTTCACTTATTTGTGAAGAGAAAGAAACTTAAACTAGGAGTCAGTAGACTTGGGTTTTGACCCAGCTCCATTGCCTCAGGCAAATCATTACCCTATCATTACCTATTAACTTTATCATGTGAACATATAACACTTTTCTAACTCTAAGATTGCATTATTCCAGTTTTGTCTTATCTTCAAAATATGTGATTCATTTTACCATTCACCTTTATGGTTCTGTCCAGGTAATTGCAACCAAAGTGATGTAGGGCAGTTTTGTTTGAGGCTAAAACAAAACCATCCCAAAAGATAAAGGCAGGCAAACACAGTTATCTAATCGGGTCCTTATGATTTCCAATCAAGACTCTATACTCATTAAATGTGGACAATTATTGGCTAAAGTTCCCATTGTGTTTTGAAATATTATCTGAAACTTGTTGAGTAACAAATAGGGTAGTAAGTGAACACTAGAAAAAAATTTTAAATCATAAGCAAAGTTTTAAAAGAAGAATGAGTGGATTTTGAAGAGATAGTACACAACATATTGGGCCTAAGGTCATTTTCAAACAATTATGGGTGGTCAAGATTTTCTAATTTGAATTCTGCTATTTACCAGTTAGGAAAGTGAAGCTCAGAGAATTTCAGTGGCCATCTTTGCTGGTCTGTGCTTAAGAGCAGAATTGATGGGTTGCAGGTTCAACCTTGACACATAACTGCCACATAGTTCTCCAAAGTTCTCCACCCCCACCAGTGGGGAAGGAGACTTCTGGTTGTCCAGTCCTCTGGCCAACACTTGACACTGTTGGTCTTTCTGTGCTAGCCCTTGTGATGGGTGTGTAGTAGTAACACCTGTGGTTTGATTCTCAGTCTTTTTCATAAAAAATAATGAGTTCCCTTCCAATCTCCCTTTACTATTGTGATAATGGAAGCAACAGAAGTGAGGTGGTGGTGGTTATTTCACTAATAATGCGAAATCCACAAAATGTTTTGCATGATGGTAGTCTCTTCTCCTAGCTTGTGGTGTTTATCCAAAATGCACTTACTGTTGATCACTTTGAGATTGGCAAAGACAAACAGCCACAAAGGATAATCCATTCGCATGACCCAGCATTGTTGTTGAAGTTGAAAGTTCAAAAGACCCCTAAGAGAAAGGTCAAAGCTAGATACTACTTACTGGCTCTTTCCTACCTCTGCAACTCTTGCCTTATCAGGTGTAGAGTGGTTTAAAAAAAAATGCAGAAGACAAACAGCTGACTTGAAAACAAAGAGATTTCATCTCATTCCTCATTGAAGTAATCAAAAGAAAATGTATGCTTACTTGTGAACTGGTCATACCTACTTAGGTTGGCAACAGTCATCCACTTATTTTGTAAATATGAAACATTTCCATTATGTCAGGCTTTGAAATAGTGACTAGGGATACAAAAACAAAGTCTTGCTCTCAAGGGGCTACAATTTAAATAAGGAGACAGATGTGTAAACAGTTACTATAGAGTATAAAAGTTTATAAAATTGCAAGGCATACACAGAGTGGAATGGTGACATGAAGGAGAGGATTAGTCTCCCCAAGTAGGGGATGTTAGAAGACACTTGCATGCAGAGAGGTGGCTTGTGATATGGAATTCGTCAAAGGAGCAGAGAGGAAGCCATTTCAGGGGAGAAGGAATTTGACAAGGAGGTTTGTGATGGCCTAGTTTGTTTCTGGAGCTTGAGGTATGATGGGGGCAGAGAGAAGCAGCAGGTCATGAGCAACTTCAAATGCTGTGCCAGGGAGTTGGGCTTGATTGTTCCCTACTGCCTAGAGAATTCATCCTTTAAACATTTTGAGCCCTGTGCCAGATTTTAGGGAAGCAAGGATGAGTGAGTCATCCATGTGCTCTTTCAGCAAATGTTTCTTGAATACCTGCTGTTTGCCAGAATCTTTTTAAAAACACAATGATTTCATGGAGCACAAAGGCATGTAAATAACTTGGGGACCGGATGATATGCGTTATAATAGAAACACAAGCTTTCTTCTTCCATGGACCCAGGA